TTCTCTACTCCAGACTAATCACTGACGACAGTGAATTGCCATGAGTGGAACACATTTTATTGGCCTGCAAGCTTATGGGCCAATATTTTCCAAACTGTGTTACACGTGTCTGCAGATAGTTTACAAGACGTATACTGTGCTTCGTCTGCTTCTTTTGGCAGTTTCTTCCAAATACCGATTTTCATTCGACGTTGTAACTAGGAGGGGGGGGGGAGACCAGTACTGACATTCCCATCATCTCATTGGAATTGTTGCAAAAACCTAGAGACGTCACTAAGGGCAATTCCAAGTCCTTCCGATACTTTGTACTTCACTATGAGTACGTTACATTTCAGGTGGCCTATAATTTCACCACGTAAAAAAATATCCACATGAGTTCTCTCTGTGTCATAATTATTTAGTTATGGCACTGAGCGACTTAAAGAACGGTTGCATACAGCTTTACTTCTTTGCTACCATTTCTTTTATACCCCTCTCTTACACTCACGTTATTGTGACATACTGTCGGCGTCATCTGACTGCCGCTTCTCAATATTTGCACATTATTTTTGGAGATATGAGTGATAATTCTACAGGGGAAAGTTTTACTTTCAATCCCTTGTGATTCTGATTTATCCCTAATCCAAGCGACGCCTAATCCAAGGTAAGCGACGAAAAATTCAAAAGTGAGATTTTTATATATTTGGTATTTTTGCATAATAAGCTACTTATTGCAAAAGAGTTTTTTTTTTCAAAATTATATTTCAATATATAAATTTTTTTAAAAAATTCTATTTTAGCGGTCATACCATTATCAATAGAAAGAAAATAGTTTTCATGTCACTTCTCACGAAATCTACTGAGAAGAATTTACGCTCTTTTTTCAATTGCACTGTAGAATTGAGAAATTTCTGAAAATGTCTTAAATTAATTGATTGTTTTTAATTGATGTCTAAACAATCATTTATTATTAAACTTTGGCAAAATACAATGAAGAAAAATAATTTAACAATTTTTAAATAAACATATGTTAAAATTGGTCTTAAGTAATTCCATAATTAATAAATTAATAATAAAAAATGTAAGGTGAAAAAAATTTTAATAAGTCAAAATATTTAAAAAATTTATTTGTGTTTGTAACTGTTATCTAAATAATCATTTAATCGTAAACTTTACATAAAAACTACTTTTTAAAAAAAATCAGAAGAAAAAAAAAACAGAAAAAAAAAAACAATATACAATAATTTAACAATTGTTTTTAAATAAATATCTGTTAAATCTATCTTTAAGTAATTCCATAATTCAGAAATTTATAATACAAAGTTTAAGGTAAATGCTATTCCAAAAGAATTCTTGATATCTATATTCTTGTAAAATTGCATAATTTTCCAGGTCGTTTGAAGATTAGGACTTTTAATTAACTATTTCCATGGAAATAAATTCTAAGATCACTTAATAACTGGCGCCAATATACAGTAGTTTAACAATTGTTTTTAAATGAATATCTGTTAAAACTAGCATTAAGTAATTCCATAATTCACACGCAAATGACACAAAATTTAAAGTGAATGTTTTTCCAAAAGATTTCTTCGAGTGTATTCTTGTAAAATTACATGATATTCACCGTGATATAAACGTTAGGTCTTTTCTGTATACAGTAAACTATTTCCAATGAAATCTAATTCTAAGATCATATAATAACTGGCGCCATAGGAGTTCGCGCCAAAACTTGCCCATTTTAGGTTTACCAAGGAAGAAAACGGCAGAGTTCTACCCGGAATTGTGTCAGCTGTGGCACGAAGGAGATGGATGTTGGGTTCGGCAAGCGTTGAAGGCTGCCCCAACCAACCCTAATTTGCATAATAAGCTTGCGTCTACGCTCTTTCTCCCATTGGTGGTTGATATACTTCTAGAAGGAAGGACGAGCTGTGAAAAATGGCGTGAGAGGTTAGATTAGGAAACGAAAAAAGGGGAATATAAAATCATTAATCAAATTCTTCTTCTTTGTCATTTTAGATATATTTTTTTTCTTTACTGTTGTTGTTGCTTTATCTACTTCCTTAATCTGAATTTTTATAGGTTGCCTCTGAAGGAAGATGGGAGAAAATATTTGAGAGATCTAAAAAAAGGAAATAATAGTTTGTTGGGTTTTGAGATTTGTGGAAAGAAGGAGATGGTATTCATTCATTTGATCTGTTTTTCTTACAAAAGGAAGGTTTTCATCCTTCATGACAATAAACACTGTCAATGATATAAAATGGATGGGACACATTAGTTTCTGTTCTTTTTTAACCCCCCTCTGTTTCAGCGAAATCTGAATAATTCAGCTAAATTTCTGTGTTGCTTTAAGGTAGTGATGGCGTATTGATCTCTTTGCAGTTTTTTTTAATAATAACTAAACTTAAAACTTTAGTAAATGTCGCATTATACTTTTCAATATTTGACAGACTTATCTTTATTTTTATATTGCCAAAATTATTATTTTAAAAAAATTGCTTTTAGTACACTATTAAAGGGGGCAAGAACAGTTGGTGAAGTTTTTAGTACACAATTTTTCTTGTCAATACTAAGAGCAAATTTAACTGATGCTGGTAAAAGTTGTATAGATTTATGAAAAATTATTGATAATATAACTTCAAAATTGTGACAGAAATTACCCCTGACCCCTGATATAGGATGAGTTCTAACAAAATCCCTCAAGTAAGTTCGTGTACCATGATGATTGATAAGAAAGTGAAATATAAATGTATATGAAGTTTTTTTTCCAACCCTATGAATAAATAATAATTCAATCCATGTTACCCATTAAATTTTTCTAAGTAGAATAAGGCCGTAAAATCAAAATGCTATAAGCTGAGAGTCTATGCCATAGAATATCAGATATTTAAATTTTCTTTTGCAAATATTATAATTATATTTGTTGTGTATAAATGATTTTAAAGGTTAGAACAAATTTTTTTTATCTGTGTTGATGAGTCGATTCGATTCAAAGTGGATTGGAGAATCAGTAGCGTTGCAACTTTGAACCCAATCCATAAGATAAAAAAAAAAAATTAATGAATAGAACATTCTCGAACAATTGTGGGGAGTAAACTACTTTTCACGAAGAACTTTTTAAGTAAAAATAACCCGCATTCATTTGCGATTCATGAAAAAGAAAATAATGAAAATAGATAAGATATATAATGAAAATAGATAAGATATATAATGAAAATAGATAAGATATATAATAAAGAAATTTTAACCCATAATCAGCCTTATATTTGATGTCAGCACTGCGGTCGAGAACAGTATAAGAATCGAACAGCCATCGTCGCGATTCGAATATGGGTCGTTTGGTAGTGCGTGAATAGCGAATCGCATAGATGGTCTATATTCCATCATTGACATTAATCTAATTTCAACTACTTGATTGATCTAACATTCTTATAAATTAAACATTGAAAATAATATTATCAATTTTAATATAATTAACGAAGATATTAATATCTAAATGAAAATACATATTTTAGGAACTAAGAATTATTTTTAAAAATGCTTGCATGATTGAAACTTGCTAACTTGGCGCAATGGAACACACTTTAATAAATAAAATGGAGAAAAAAAACTACTTAGTTATTAAATAAAAATGGTAATTACGTTCAAATAAATCTTCTTAAGTTAATATTGAAAGTAGAATCTTTTTTCGATCTGCAAGTAACCCTTCACAGAGCATTTTATCGAAGTGTTAAAAAAAATTCTATGCAGTGTAAAGCTTTTACAATTCAAAACATTAATTTACGACATTATCAAAATTGTGCATTTCTTTTTTAACTCCTCTGAATAACAACGAACATGTTTCGGCTTTATGACAAAAAGAATAAATATCTCAAACTCCAAAGAGTGGAAAACGAATAAAAGATACTTTGTGGGCAACATACTTGAGGCATTATGGGGATTTATCCTCCAAATTTATCTACTATTAGAAGATCTGTTAATCGGTCTTCAGACCTTCCATTGCAATGGTTTTCCAGTCGAGTTGAAAAATGGATCTCAATTTTCACAGCCCACGGCTTTGTAATAATGATAATAGTCTTCCTTCGACAGATGGTATGAAAATCCCTTAATAGTGGCGCAATTTACCGCCACCACCCCTCTTCAGTTGGCGAGATGTCGAGGGGGTGAGGAGAGTATATATATAGAGAGAAAAAGCGCTTGAACTGAAAATTGAGACTTGATGCAAATAATGATCATTTTCCGTGGTCGCTCTTTGGGGCTTGTACATGTTATTAGTGGAAATGTTGTTTGGCAAGAAGGCCTGTTGTGTTTTGGAGAAAATCGTCGAGGCGTTTGGGAAGTTTAAGGTTGTAAGTTATCTTTTTGCGGAGAAAATGACTGAAATTATGGTGTGCTAAATACTCCCGAGAGGAAGCGATTCGAAAATGAAAAAGCGGTGCAAACTTTTATTCTGATTAGAACTCTCAAAAGAAAGTTTTCTTCTTTTTATGTATTGTTGTGTTAAGTTTTAAGATGGTACACGTGAGAATTAGGTACAAGCACTATAAATAAAAATAATTTTAAAAAAATATTTTATCCTGACATATTTATTTATAATGCTCCAACATTTATTGCATCTTGAAAACAATACAAACTTTTTTTTTATGAAAGATGAAATGGAAGGGTGCGTGCGTGTGTGTGTGTGTGAACTCAATTACATATTGAGAAAAAAATAAAAAATGCTATAAGAAAAATACTAAGAATTGTACAATATAAAGAATAATTCTTGATATTTTAATTATATTTCCACAAATACTTCCAAAACGGAATTATCCTGTAAACGATTAAATTTCTTGTTAAAGTTTAAGGAAATTTTTTTCAATAAATATTTGTTACTAAAATAAATGTATAATTACTACAATTATACAAAAAAAAATTCCAAACAGCGGAAAATTTAAATTTTAAATAAAATTTTAGTATCGAAATTTTTATTTACTCAATTATTCATGACAAAACAATTTGTAATAGTTTATAAAGCAACTCACCTGGTTTGAATATTCCTTTATTCTAATTGGCATACTGAGTATTGATTATGATACATTATTTAAATTTTCCTGTAATAAAAAACGAATTTTTAAAATAATAAAGTTTAACTAAATGTTTTATACAAAAATTTTAAACTCTAATCAAACAATTGAAACTATCTCTTAATATAATAAATTACAATTTTTACAACAAAGTTTGAAGTTTATATGAAAAAAACCGATCAAATAATTTATAAGAATAAATAAATAAATAATAATTAAATGAATTAAACATAAATAATACATAAATTAATAATAATAAATAAATTAAACAAGTTAAACAATTTTATTTCAATTTAAGAATGTCTTTCGAACAATGAAAAATCTAAGATAGAGAAAATAAGATCAATTATCCATTATTAAGATGTAAAAAAATTGCTAGTTAAATTACCGTACTGAATGGTATTGATATGTCCGGTAAAAAAAAAAAATAATAGCTCTGGTTAATAAAACCAAAATGTATGAAATTTGAACCATTCATTTGGTAACATTTCCGTAAATATGGTAACGATTAACTGGAAATTCTGGTTTACAAAATGATTAGTTCTTATTACCCCGCATTTAGTAAAAAGTACAAGATTGTTAAGTAATTTAAACCAAATAAATAGTTGTTAGTGCCATGCTCTGAGCTATCATGATAACATAATAAATTTTACCATATTTACCGAATTTTATCACATAGTATAAAAGAATATTTTATTATTAATTTTAGCAAAATATTTAGAAAAGTGTTTCAGTAAAAATTGTCGAGCCTTTTAGTGTTCCCATAGAATGAAAAACGCGGTGAATTTTAATATATTTTGGTAGTTTTGGCCATATCTTTTCTCAATAAACGTTAAAGAAGTTTCTGTATATTTATCTCCTATTAACATACATTGCTAAATATCTTTGCATGAACTATATTACAATAATATTCATTAAATTTTAAAAAATTTAAATTATATTAATAAAAACCACTTTCCATATAAATATACAATTCTGAAATTTATGAGCAACCCTCAACTACTCCTACTTAAATCCAAAAAAAAAAAATAATAATAATTATTATTATTACTATTTCGCAAAAATAATAATCTCAATTTTTCAAAAATAATAATCAAACAAATTTCTCAAAAATAATAATCAGACAAATTTCTCAAAGAACAGTTCCAGTTAAATCTGTTAACATAGTTACAAATATTATGAAGAAAAAAAAAACACGTGACATTATTTGCTTATTGCTAAGACTTCGACCTTATTTTTAGAGTTTTTATGTAATAAAACAAAGCTTAAGATAAAATGATTTACATATTATTTATTAATTATCGTCGAGACAGTTCCTAATTAAATACAAAAGAAAATTCTAGATTTAGGGCTATACGAATTGTCCCTTTAGTTGTTTTTCCGGCTAATCCAAGTACCTTGTAAGGAAAATACTTTTACAGAAATAAAGTGAGAAATAAGGTATTTCGACATTGAAAGAAGTCTAAGCATAATAACATAAATTGGTTTTAATTTATTACCTTCAAAAGCTTATTTCTTAAAAACGTAAATTCTACCCAGAATTCTACAAAATTACATATGCTGTAGACACTTTTTTTCCATCATATTATATCACTGTAATTAAATAAATATTGCTGCAAAAAATGTGGTATAAAATTTTACGGTCAAAATGGATTTTACGGCAAAATAGATTTGCGAATGCTGCACTCAGAGTGTACAAAGTATTTTTTTCTTCCGTAATTTGATCCGGGATTTTTTACAATGTCAGATCAATTCCCTGTTTCTTGACTAACTAATTAAAATTTCGGAACATTTTGATTTCAGTTTATACATTAAAATTAGTTCATGACACCAAGTAACCAAATTTTAATTCTTTAAGACTAGTTTTTTTCCCAAAGCTACCACAGAAGGCTTTGGTGAACCCAGACAAAAGTTGAAAAAACATGCAAAATCCTTAAAATATAAAAATTTTGTAATTTTAATTAAATACATTAAATGAATGAAACGAAGCAAAAAAAATTAAAATATTAATTAGTGATCTAAAAAGCATGGAATTGGTATCATTATAATTCCCCATAGGTTAACCTGATAGATGAAGGAAGTAGATTCTGACTACAAAACGCTATTCTAACGTAGATCTATTTTTATTTTATTAATTTTAAATTGGATTTATTTTATATTACTCAAAAACTAATGAATAGTGTTTACTCGGATTTATCTTTAAAAATGTGTAAACTGGGGACACCTTTTAGACGATAAATAGAGTAAGTTATAACTGATTTTTTTTAAAAAAATAATATGAAGTAAAATAAAATTTCATAATTTTTTTTATATAACTTTAATAAAAATCAACTATCTAACATAAAAGAATATACTAACACTCAATACGATGGGTTTAGCATTCAAATAAGCATTGAAGACGCGTGCTTGACGCTTACAAAAAGTATAAAATACAAGAGTAACAAATAATAATAATAAAAAAAAGTTCCACAATAATGATGGTCTCCCCGTAGAGGCGGTACAATTGTGACGCCTCGAGCCCACCAAAACGTGATGTTTATAGTAGGAATGAGAAGGTAAGGCGGATAATTTGGGGTGGCATTCCTTGCCTCAACAAGGGCAGTGTGTTTTCAGCGGGTCTATTAGCCAAATTCGAAAACCACGCTTTCGCTGTAATTTAATCGAGCAACCCACCCCGAATGAGACTTTTTCACTCACTTTGGCTTCGGGCTTCGGCAGATCGTACTTTCTGGTAATTGCCGCGCAATTTTTTGATTCTCTACTTCCAGATAATTTCGGATTTTACTTTCTGTGTAACGTGCCGGGAGTATCGAACCACGGTCGATAATTTCTCTCCCAACTGCATTTTAGTTGATAGAAAAAGTATCTCGACTTTGGATTACAAGTAAAATAATTGCCTCTATAAACAAGATACAATCTCGTCAAATCGCCATTTTTTTTTCTCCTTCAACTGAAGAATCAATTAAATTTTTACAACTCGATATTGAGACATTATTAATGATTATTTTGTTAATTTATCTGCATGCATTTGAGGTGTTGATTTCAAAATTACCCTTATCAATAAGAAATTTTACAGAAAAGAAAATAGAAAGATACAGAAATAGAAAAAAGGATTTGTAACAAATTTTGAGGTAGAGATTCCAATTCTGTCTTTTGAATATAGGTATATTTACTGTATTTTTCGTGTCTAGGAAAAAAAATTGAAGGTAACATACGTATGATTACAAAAGTTAATACTAGAAAATATTCGAAACATTAATTAATGTAATTTATAAGAAATAATTTAAACATTATTTTACATTTTGTATAGTTTGCGGTTTTTGACTTAGTTTGAGATAGAATTGAAATCTTATGACGTTTAATATTTAAATATTGAACAAATTATATATATATTTTTTAACTTTTGCTCAGCTACGTTTCGACTTAAAAATTATACATCAGGATACATTTATAAGTTTTTGAGTTCATGTATTTTAAAAGCCGAAATTATCGTCACTATAATAACACATGTTAGATTAGAAATTTATATACCTAAACCAAATTGTATCATTGATATATGATTATATAATTTGACGTAATATCAAAGTATGCAAGAAGACGAAATTTTCAAATCAAATAAGTGAACGATCAAGCTTTATCCTCTAAGTTTATCAAAGATAGACTTAGTCAGGGATTGACAAGTAAGTTATATCTATTAGGGGGACCGGAAAGTAATGTCGTTTCGGTGCATTTGATATTTGTTATCAAGATTTTTTTTTAATCAACAATGTATTCACCCTTGTTAGCAACGACCTTTCAATGCCGGATCGAAAATGAATAAAAATGGATGGAAGAAAATGAATTAGTTTTTAAGACTAACGAATATTTAACGCGCCGAAACGACATTACTTTCGGGTCCACCTAGTATTTTCACGCAAATTAAACTTAGTCCAAAACCTATTTAAATACTATCATATATTGAGGATTACTTAATTAAGGAGGGTTACTCATTGTAATTTTTTCAAAATAGTTTTATTACAAAAAATTTTTTTTTACGATACACTCTTATGTTTAAATCAATCTCGTACTCGTACTATGGTACCTTAACTCTTGATGTACTTAAAACTAAAATAATAACTACCATTCTTGACAAAATTTACCTCATAAGGCATTTAACTTTACTTCTTCGTTATTGATATCTGCTCACCCCATGTAATAAAGATGAAAAGAAGATGACATTTAAAGAATGTCATTAATAGCGCCTATCTCGTTGCACGGAATATTCGGAATTCTTCATCCAATGGACCGAGACACTTAATATTTGTCACTGAGGAAAAAAAAAAGGAAGAAAAGCTGTAACAAAACACCCAGGTATAAATTCCTGCTTCCTTGATTTCCTTGTAATGACGACATGAAAAATTGGCGGTTTATTACCCTAAGTATCGAACGCCGCTTTGAGCCCTGAAGGATAGCCACTTGGAATGCACTAGAGGACGTCGCGAAAAATGAACAAAATGGCAATAAAATAATGGGCACAAGAACATTTTCATCACAATCATTTATCATTTCTTATGATACACAAAATAAAATAAAAATTGTCGCGCAAAACTAAAAGTGCCGATCATTCACTGAACCGACTATATAATTCACGCTATCGGGAAAAGTTAATTGATATCATAGAAGGTTGTGAGAAATAAGCCGTCATTTTAACAAATTGTGATAAGAGACAGAATTTACGAGAGTTTTGTAGGATTGTAACTTATCCATTTATCCTTCGCTTGGCGTTAAAAGTAATTGAAAGTTACCTATATGTGGCGATTTTATTACAACTTATTGATTGGTATAAACTAAATTTAAAAAGCTATATTCTCAATATCCATAGAGAAAATAAAAGTATGGTCAAAACTACCTGCATATGGGGAAATTTGTTGTGTTTCTGGCAGTATGGGAACATCAAAATGTTCGATCATTTTTACCGAAGCACTTTAGTAATGACATTTGGTAAAATTAACAATAAAATATGGTTTTATTACCACGCTGTTGGTAGT